GCCGCTGGTGTTTTCTGCTAGACTTCATCTTTGTTAAGATTGGAAATAGCAGACAGCAGGGGGTGTCGCGTCGACCCCCGCTATCAGTTCACCTAAAGAAAACTTCGAATTGGGGCGAGCGCTGTCAATTACTTGCATACTTTCTTTCAACCCGGCGGCCATGTTCATGTGCGCTGCGTACGCCCGCAAGAAACTTACGGTCACAGGTGGCAGGGTGTATTTTCCTATTCAGTAACATCCACCTCCACCCCATCCTGAACTTCAGCCTCCCAACCTTGCGAAAAATTTGATCATATCCGTGGTAAAACGCGTTTGCTGGCGTTTTAAGAGTTGGTCTCGTAGATTTTAACCGCTCAACCTCTCCCCCCCCCCCCCACTCTGCCAGCACATTTTGCGAAACACGCCGCTACCATTTTATCTGCATCGAGTGATATCACGAACGTTGTGACGTCTTGTGGCGCGTACTAGCCACCTTCAAGCACAACGCTGCTTGCCTCGCTCAGTAAGACTGGGAATCGAATCATTTTAGAATAGTCGGATAATCGAGTATGTGAAATGCAAGTGCAAAATGTGCAACCATGAACAAATTTGCAAAAAACACCACAGGAAAGAAACAGAGCACGCACACAACAATGTTTGAGTTCGGCAAATACGCGTCAGCAAACAATGCCACCTCTCGGGAAGTCGAAGTACTGCAAGTGAGTAAACTCGCACGCTACGGCGGCATTTCTGACGCGGCGGGTCTGGCACATGTCACCAAAACGGCCGACACCAAAATTGGCTGCAGACAACTACATGCTCTGAGCCTATCGCACCGATCACCGTGAAAACTTCACCACTCGATGTGCATAGTGGATACCTTATCTTATCCGGAGCATGGTGACCTTGAGTTATGTCAAAGGTCACCAAAAACGGCCGAAACCACCTGAAATTAGTTTACAGACAGACCCATGCTCCGAACGTATGACACTAATCACCATGAAACCTTTTACCAATCGATGCGCCACACTTGATGTCCTATCCTTCCTGAACATGGTGACCTTGAGTCAGGTCAAAGGTGACCAGAAGCGGGCCCTTTTTGGTGACTATCGATTGGTGAAGGTTTCATGCCGATCGGTTGCCATTTGCTCGGTGAATGGGGATGTCTGCAAAACCTATTTTTAGTTGTTTTTGGTGACCTTTGACCTGACTCAAGGTCACCATGTTTCTGGAAACGTAAGATATCGACTGTGGCGCATCGATCGGTGAATGTTTCATGGCAATCAGTGTTACAGCCCCAGAACACAGGTTAATCTGCAAAACTAATTCAGCGGATTTTCGGCCGTTTTTTGTTTTTTTGTGACTTTTGACCCGACTTAAGCTCACGATGTCTTGGAGCGGACTGGATACCTACTACGGTACATCGATTAGTGAAGGTTTCATGGTGATCAGTGCCGTAGGCTTAGAGGACCGTTGACCTCACTCAAGATTACGATCTTCTGGAATCGATTCGATATCGAATATGGCGCATCGATTGGTGAAGATTTCATGTTGCTTGGTGCCGTAGGCTCGAAGTATGAGGTTGTTTGCAAACCTACTGTTCTCGTTTTTGCACTTTTGGTAACATTTGGCCTCACCCAAGGGCACCATGCCCTAGAAAGGACTTATCGATGAGGTTATCGGACCAAGCGGCATCGAATGGTGAAGTTTTCATGTCAATCGGTGCCATAAAACTCAGGGCGAGAGGCTATCAACAGGTTTTGTCGGCCGCTTGGTCCCTCCCCATCAAAAGGACGTTCAGTGACATAAGCAGACGATGACGTATTGAGGACCGCGGTTACTAAATTGTGAAACTGTGTTGTCTAGAGCAGTCTTTAACACTTTAAAGCAAACCAATGCCCCAAGTGAGCTTATGACATCATACCTGATACTTGTCTCAATATCTTCACATATGAAACTTTCCCTTTAATTTCGATCATCCACTTGTAGTCCTTCTTACGTGGGTAGCATTTTTGCAAAGACAAGAATTGAAACGGCAAAACGAGGGTGGAAATTAAGATACACTCTCTATACTAACGGCAGCGATCACGTTTGAATGTGGTGAAGGTGACTGAGCGGTGAGTTTGTTGTTCAGTTCTGGAAACGATGTTTTGGTGGTGACGTCCTCCTAGGCATAAAGGTCCTCCCGTTTGATGATGATATTAAGATGTCATAGAGTTTCTGGCGATGTCGTCTCGGCTGATGCTTCGGCAGTGTTCATTTCTCACGTGCTCTTTTCGGACCACCGTCAGCCAAGCTCATCATAAACCGTCTTCAAAGTATGGTGGTAGTGACACCAACCAAGTTTGCTAGCTTTAGGAACTTACAATCTTAAAAGTAAGTCCTAAAAATGGTATAGCTGTGATAGGCATTGAATGAGCTTCAAAACGGCTATCCTCAGTTCAAAAACCCCCGTACAAATATAGAACAATCCCTTTGAGACTAGCTAACCGATGTCAGTCTTTGCCTGGTCGAATACGTCCACTGCTGCCTACGCACAGGGTTGAAACACCATGTGTTATTTTGGGGGGCTTTTTACATTTATTTACCTATTTCAGCTCATTTTTCTACCACTGAAGCGACGACAATGAAGACAAATTAGCCTTCAACTTACTTGCGACAGCAACCAAAACTGTGGCAGTACTCGGCAGTGATCAAGCATGACAGCTAGCAAAACTGTGGCAGTACTCGGCAGTGATCAAGATTGGCAGCTAGCAAAACTGTGGCGGTAGGCAGCAGTGATCAAGCTGGCATGTGGACCAACGCAGACTTCCATTGAACACACCGGCATAGTGAACATCAGCAGAGCGTCTGCCGCAGCGGTAGACTACAAACTACGGCAGTCTAACAGCCATCGCTCAGGGTTCAACCAACAGGCGTTCCACTCTGCGAAGGCCGGAGATAAGCAAACAAAAGAAGAGGAAAAAAAACAAATGGTTCGCCGGTTTCATTACTGTGCATCACTAGAGCAAGAACACAACGTTTGAAGGCCATGTGCAAGAAAGTACGCAAAGTGACCCCCAAAAATATTGTTGTGGTCTTTTTCACGCTTTGCGGTGCATGGTTTTACTTCAGATCGGACTCTCCTCTAAGGCTACCCAAAATCACCGCTTGGCTTGTCAACTCCAGTTCTTGTGCGATACCTGATTATTGACCCATGGGATGAAAGTATTGCGCAAATAATCCTTAAACGAAAACGGTTCGGTGGATGTCGTCAGCAATCCCCCATAGAAATACGGCAGGACGGTAACGTCCTGCTGTTTTCGAAAAACAAAACAGCGAAAAACCAACAGTGTGAGCCCGAGTGCTGCTTTCGCAGCGTTCTGAGGGCGGACGAGGGACATTCAGACGACAAGTATCAGTTCGGAACAAAGCACACTTGCTTGAAATGGGACCAACCATTCAGTGTGAAGGACGAATTCATTCATGTCAGATGTTTTTGTCCCCACAATAATGCTACGGTGCATGAGGATTTCCGTGCATTCGTAACTCCAAAAAACTTCGCGCAGAGCCCCGTATCATCCAGCGCAAAAGCCTCAAAAAACCGCAATGAGATATCCAATATCTACCTCATTGGTATTGACTCCGTTTCCAGGCTCAATTTCAAACGCTTTTGCCTAAAATCGAAGGCTTTTGAGCGACCAATTCAACGGTATTTCCATGCTGGGCCTGAACAAAATAGGCCTCAACACCTTCCCGAACATGCTTGCCTTGCTTACTGGCCTCCGGATAGATCAGGTGAGACTATCCCTGGGAACAGAGCCAATTGATGACTTGCCGTTTATTTGGAAAGAATTCTCCAAATTGGGGTTACACCACCATGTTAATGAAGACCTCCCAGAGATAGCAACATTTAACTACAAGAAGCAGGGCTTCCACAACACCCCCACTGATTATTACTTGAGACCTCTCTACCGAGCCATCGAAGATTCTTCGTACGTGAAAAGCCGGCAAACTCTGTGCATCAAAAAGCGACCGCAAATTGATTTCCAGCTGCAATGGCTGCAAGACTTCATGACTCAGGTCAACACTCGTCAGTTTGCGCTGTTGTTCAGCAGTGCCATGAGCCACGAGGGACCACTGACTATGTCAGTGAATTGGAGGATCACCTGCACAAATTTCTGATCTGGTACAAAGACACAGAACGCTACAACTCGTCCATCGTGCTCTTCTTCAGCGACCATGGCATGCGGTTCGGCCCAGTGATGCGCACCGAGCTAGGCGGCTACGAGTCCCGCATGCCGTTCTTCTACGTGCTGCTTGCCGCCGTGGTACGCGATGCGGTACCCGCAGCGCGTGCGGGCACCTGCGCGCCAACGCCCGCCGTCTGACACCCTTCTTCGACGCGCACGCGACGCTGCGCCACCTGCTGGCCGACATTGGGAGCCGCGCCCCAGCCGGCCGCCAACACACCCCTGCGGCGTCAGCATGCTGCGGGCCGTGCCGATGCGATGCGGACATGCGAGGCGGCCGGCTATCAAGCGCGCACTGGTGCGTGCTGCGCAGCCGGCGGCCTCTGCCGGTGCAACGCGGCTGTGCGTGCAGCGGGCCGCCGCCCGGCCGCCGTTCCACACATCAACATGGGTTGAAGCTGGAGGCGGTGCGCTCGCAGTGCGCCCTAGCTCAGCCTGCTTGAGCGTCACGGCGCTTTCCCACCGGCTGTCGCCAAGCCGCAGGGCGTCGTCAAGGACACGGCCTACCAGGTGCAGGCGTTCGCAGGAGAACGTCGTGCCAGTTTGTCACCACGACCGATGGCCTGGGAGAGTTCGAGGCCACCGTTGAGCAGCCGGGGCGGGTCTGCCCCACTCGAAGAGCTGCCTCTCGGTGGTAGATTGTGTCACCGGCTGAACGTCTACCGCGGCCAAAGCGACTGCCTGAAGCAGCGCTTTGACGAGATGAAGGTTTTGCTATTGTCAGAACATGGTGCAGTGAGATGTGGTCCTTTGATCGTAGACTGCATGAGTGTGGTAAAGGATGATGTGATGTGCCCGCTAACTGGCATGGACTGTCACCTTTTGACCGCCTTTGGAAAGCTTGATAATGGGGCTTTCCCATAACTGCTTTTTCACAGCTTTCAGCTAGTCGCTTGACGAACAACGTTGAGATTTATTTGGTCGGCGAAAAATAGCCACTTGTCTGAAAGATTTGCGCTCACGTAAAAATAATACTTTACTGAGTTCAGCAATGATCGTGCGCTTATAACCCTTCTTCTTAGCAGGACCGTGTCCATAAAACTCCGAATTGGTGTATGTCTCTTGAGTTTATGTATATGTAGAGTTGATATTGAACGTTCGCAAGTGTTCCGTTGTACTGGTGCCATATTTTTGCCAGAACTTGCAGTGCATAAGTGGAAAAGGAGCTCTTGGATATCGTCAGTCGGCATTTTCAACCGATGTTTACCAATGAGCTATTACAAAAATTTACTCACCCACTCGGCATGTTTCTAGAAAATGCGTTTCCCAAGCACCGCTGATGTGCAGGCTTGTTCGGGTCACACGACACTGCGCCAAATGTGTTCATGTGTGGTGCTAAGGGAGAGAGATGGAGAACAGGGATCGCGACAGAAACTGATTCTCTTCGCAGACCTTGGAAATCTTCTATGCCCCCAAATTTATTGCGCGTAAAAATGTGTAAATGGTGGAAGTCGTTCGACCATCAACGTCGTGGTTATGCGGTCCTGGATATCGTAAAATGTTTCGGCGATTCTTAACGCCATCTGTAATGTCATCAGTTATGTACTGTCTACGTAACGCATACTTGCTGGCACTGACTAAAGCTATCCATGGCGCCACAGCTTTTTCAAGGGAGGGGGTACTTTTGTTACCTAGGCGGTCGCGGCTAGAGGCGGAAAGGCTCCAGATACTGCTGGGTTTATGGCATCATATGTTCCACGTTCAAGATTGGAATAAAGTCATTCAGTGTCATTCGATGACTAAAATATATGACCTAACAGCAATTCCACAATAGTCCCGAGAGATGCATTACAGTCCACCGCGTGCCAAACCTAGCGGTCACAATTAAAAACTTGAACTGTTATTGACATGCCACACAATACGCGTTGGCAATTGAAAAGTTTACCCATTCCGTTACACAGAGCATGACACTCTTCATATAGCCGAACCGATATGTGTTCAGGTGTGCGGGACATATGTGTGGCAGTATGAGTGCATGCTGTTGTCTCAGCCGAATAATTTCTGTCTCGTGTTGTCTCGACCCTCGGCTGCCGGGCGCGCAGTCACGCGGCTGTGGAATGTGCCTGCGGCGCAGAAGACCTTCCGCAGAAACGCACTCAAACACACTCAACTGGATCATTCGGCACCTGCTGTCATTCCATGGGGTCTGAAGTCGGCCATCTGCGGCGGCGGCGCAGATCTCGCCACCTGCTCTCCTGAAGGGCCTTCTTATTTGATGGAATGTTCCGACTCGGCCATCTGACTTCTCTCGTCGGCATGATGGGGCTTCCTGTCGGCCTCATGAAATTTAAAGGGGGCGCTAAACAAGCGGATAAGAAAGCTGACCCTTGCAGTCTGGTGCCAGGCTTGAAGAAAGCTATCAATTTACAGGATGTGATCGATGAAAATATGGAAGCCTTTACGAGCTACGAGGGGGGCTCAGCCAGACACCAGGCTAAGCCTGCCTTCGAAATGCAGTTAAAAGCGTTTTCCGGATTTGACCCACTTTCGTCTCAGAGTTGGGAGCCTGGGCATAGTTTCTCGAACGTAGATTGCGGGGCTCGGGGATCAGTTGGACTCTAAAAATGATGAATAAAAGATGCTCAGAAATGGCAAATTACATGAATGCATGGGGGCACAGCCCCCCCCCCCTCTCATTTCATTTGGAATAGGAAACTACACTGTTATCGGGCTAGTTATGTTAAGTGTGTCTTTACATATTTCACATTAGACAAGTCTCAGCAATCAATCAGTGCTTTGGTGGATTGTTAAGGTCATCCAGTTCACCAGCTGCTTTAGAACAAAACCAAATCGACCGAGTTTCTTTTGAGAGAAGCCTTAACCATTGTGACATATAGCTGTGAATATCAAATTGCGAGGGATGTGTGTAATTATGATTCATTCAAGAAGCCAATCATTGATCTTTGGCCATAACTGTTGCTGAAGGTGACCACATTGTTGATGTGCAGTTGGTGGCCTCTTGGAGTCCTGCAAAGGCCTTTCATGTTGTCTCACCAGTCATACCCAATTAATCTACCAGTAATATTGCTGTTGGATCTCCTGGGTACTTTGTTGCCATAGTAATGTTTGACATGAGGCTGAGGTATGATTTTGAACATGGGGTGTCTTCAGGCCTCATGTGCGTGCATGCGATGCCTACCCATATTTTCATTAAATGACTTCTGCTAGATTTCTTTAACACACGCACGGGAGGCCAGCTGAATTTCGTTCACTGGGGTAGGGGTCACTTTGACCTATTAAGATCTAAAAAAATAAGACAGCTAGAGACACCAAATTCACAGAGGAGATTGGCCTGTACGCATAGTCATTTTTTCATACTGAGGCTTCTAGATCACGGCCTTAGGGTCAGATAAGGTTAAAAAAGGTCAGAGTTCAGATTGGTGCTTCAAGTGCCTCCAGACCTCCTCATGCACCCGGCGTGAACCTAGATACCTACTCTAAGCAATAGTTCAATAAAGTTAGTGACCTTGTTTGACCTTTATAAGGTCAA